ATCTACTCCTTAGATTTTAGTACAGATTTAATTTCCTGATATGAAATTATTTCTTTACCATAAATCATAGTATCATGGAAATATTTAAAGGATTAGAGAAGAGAACACAAAAGTAACAGGGCCTTATCCTCATCATCAATTTTCGTATCTATATTCTCCAAATCCATAACTAAGAAATCAAATTTATCAAGATGTGAGAGTATAGATGTACCTTCAGTCATCCGAAGCATATACAAACTCTACTTCAAGTAGAGACGATTCTCCACTGTCCTCTTCATATATAAGGCTTTAAGTTTGTTCCACATGCTCTTAGCCATAGTCTTCGTAGCTACCTCCCGTAAAACCTCGTTAGAGAGATTTAGAATAATGCTTGATCGGGCCTTCTTATCTATACCCACAAGATCTTCCTTTGAGGTACCATCTGGAATATTCTCAACTCCCTATAGTGCCAAATCAACTCCGTCTTGAACCAGAATGGCCTCCATCTTGAGTTGTCATATGCCAAAGTTAACATTTCTATCGAATTTCTCGACAATGATCTTTGTTATTGTCATCGTTGCCAAAAGATCCCGAAACCAGGCTCTAATACCAGTTTGTTAGAACTGGCCCTAGGAAATTTACCAAAAGGTAATTTGGCAACCTAATAAAGACAATAAAGTAGAAAAATAAAAGAGACAAGAACCGTAGTTCAGTCAATTGACCTACATCCATGGACGAAAGAGGAGCAAAACACTACTATAAAAAGTGACTATTATAAATGTCTTAGGAAGATGTTCCTAGGCCATAAAACACCTGAAACTACTGAACAAGAAAAGCCTAGAGCAAACAATTAGGTTTTCTTGTGGTGCATCTGATTTCAAAGCCCAGGCCCTTATTTATAGTTTAAACAGGAGATACTAAATTTGATTTTCCTGATATGGGACTATGTGGGACTTGCCAAACTAACAGGCCTTCTATGGCAACAAGTTATCCATCCTTATTTCCTATTGCTTTTTTGAAAATGTTGTTTTAGGAGATGAGTAGGGTCATAGTAGTAATCGACGGATGATTATGGTTTTCTAAGGAAGGAGGAAGGGAAGTAGGGCGGGATTGGCCTCACCGAAGCAACTCTCATGCACACATAGCATGCTGGGAGGCATGAAAGATTTATGACATTAACTTGGCATCCTAACCTCAACAACCTTCGATCTCACCAATGATAGAGTGGAAGCCATCAATCAAGAAATAGTAGATAAGGCAATAAAGGAACTTGTTGGATTAAAAACTTTCCTTGAAGAGAATACTACATTGGAAACAAGAGGTGAGACTTGAGTCACCTCTTGACTAGGGCTTAGGTCGAATATGTGACATATATGAATTGGATGAACTAAACAAGTGGAGGGGTGTGACTTGATAGGCTGAAAGAAACATTTTTACCTTTATTTTAGAGTTGTGGGTTGGTCTTAACATGTTTGAGTTTAGTATGCCTTTAAACTCGAATGGAAGTCCCATAAAGGAGGTCATACCTAACTTTTGACATCTTGGTGGAAACTCTAGGTTCTAGTGAGGATGATGAATAAGGCCATGGGAGAGAACTAACAACTACTGGTTTTGTAGCTCACTTGATCATATCGGAAGCTAATATTGGAGAGATTTTAGAAAGTGATTATTTAAAAAAATTGAGAATATCCAACTTGAATCCAAATGCACTAAGGGACTAGTTGAGAAAGGTTTAGAAGACAAAGATGTAGAAATACTTTGCTCTTGTGTGAGAGAGGGTAAAATAATCTATTTTCAAGAATATGTATTGATGTCCAAATTAACCTATAGAGTCGATTATCATTGGATCTTGAAAATATGATCTTTTATAATAGCATTAGGTTGCTCATCCTTGTATTTTGTCACCTTCTTGAAAAGGTTGACTTAAGTGGTAGGTAGTATCGCAGTAGCAATCAATGGACAATTAAGGTCTATCGAGGAAGAAGTCAGGGAAGTAGAGTAAGATTTGCCTCGCCTAGGTGACCCCTAGGCACACATGACATGCTAGGAGGCCTGAGAGAGTGGCAACAATAACTTGTCAGCTTGACCCTCAACGGCATATGAAATCACCAACGGCATATTGGCAAGCATTTGTAGAGGAGTGGTAGGCAAAACAACATAAAAGCTAGTTGCATTAAAAATCTTTCTTGAAAAAGATAACTTTTGAAAATAACCAATGGGACCTAGGTCACCTTTTGACTAGGGCTTGGGTTAGACATGAGATGGGTATGAACTGATTGAACTTGACTTGGAGGGTGTGACTTGGTAGTTTTAAAGAGACATTTTTACCTTTGTCTTAAAGATGTCAATTAGTCTTAACTGGTTTGGGTTTAACATGCCTTTGAATCCGAAGTTAAAGCCTACAAAGGAGATCATACCCAACCTTAGGCATCTTGATGGATACCCTAGGTTCCGCTTGGGATGACAAGGAAGTCAGAGAGGATGGGGAGAACTTATAACTACTAGTTATGTGGCCTACTTTGTCATATTGGAAGCTAATATTGGGGTGATTTTTTAATGTGATTATTTTTTTAAAAATAAGAATATTTAACTTGAATCCAAATGTCCTACGAGACGGATTGAGAAATATTTAAAAGTACATAGATGCAAAACTATTTTTCTCTTATATAAGAGACAATAATATGGTCTATTTCAGGAATATGCTTATTTGAGAGGTAATTTGTGTCAAATGACTCAGTTGAAGGAACTCTAGAGAGAGATGGGGAATTGCATCTAAGTGGGAATAGACTCAATTTTTTTCTAATAGTGGCTAAAATTAGAGTTTCCTATAGATGAGGGTTAGATGTTGATCTCTAAGGAACCATAGCCCTTCCAACAGTATATGATTCATCTCCTCTATGAAATTAAAACGTAAGTAAAAAAACCCTGTATCCATATCAAAAACCTCTTATACCACTAGTAAACCCTAGATTTTTAGGAGAAGGGACTTAAATAGGTCTAAAAGAGGAATCCTACTTAGGAACTTACCATACAGGCTACTCTATTGTTCCTCATATATTGAGGAAACCTCTTTGATGTCCATATCAACCTTGAGATTCGATTATTGTTGGATCTTGAAAATGTGACCTTCTTTAGTAACATCAAGTTGCCCATCCTATTTCCATCGTCTCCTTAAAAGGGTTGGCCCAAGAGGTGGTTAGGGTCACAACATTAGTCAACAAATGATTAAGGTTTCTCGAAGAAGGAAGCAGGAAAGTAGGATGGGATTTGCCTGGCTGAGGCTATTCCCAAGTATGAGTTGCATGTTAGGAGGCTTGAGAGAGTGGCGACATTAATTTGTCGGCTTGACCCTCAATGGCCTAGCATCGATAGAGGAGTGGCAAGCAAGGCAACAAAGGAGCTGGCTATATTAAAAATCTTTCTTGAAAAGGATATCGCATTGGAAATAAGTTGTGGGACCTAGGTTGCCTCTTTATCAAGGGCTTGGGTCGTACATAAGATGGGTATGAACTAGCTTAACCCATCTTGGAGGAGGGGTATGACTTAATGGGTTAAAAGAGACCTTTTTACCTTAGTCTTGGAGATGTTGGTTGGTGTTAACTGGTTTGGGTTTAGCATGTCTTTGAATCCAAACCTAAGGCCCATAAAGAAGGTCATTCTCAACCTTCATTGTCTTGGTGGAAACCCTAGGTTTCGACGACCACGACAATGAAGGCCAAGGGGATAGGGAGAACTCCCAACTATTGATTTTGTGGTTTATTTTATCATATCAGAACCAAATATTAGAAAAGTTTTCAAATACGATTACTTGAAAAAATTGAGAATTTCTAGCTTGAATCCAAATGCCGTAAGGGATCGGTTGAGAAAAGTTTAAAAGCACGTAGATGTAAGTATAATTTTTCCTTGTGCGAGAAAGGATAATCTAGTCTATTTCTTATTTGAGAGACAATTTGTGTAAGGAGGCTAGGTTGAAGGAACTCTAGAGAGAGATGGAGTTGTAGCTAAGTTGGAATGGACTCAAATTTGTTAATAAAAACTGAAACAAGAGTTTACGATGGTTAGATGTTAATCTATAAGAAATCATAACCCTCCCAACAATATATGATTCATATAGAATTAAAATGAAAACAAAAAACGTGAGTTTCTCACAATAAGTTTTTATATACTTAAATTCTTATTCTACAAGAAATTTGATGCAAAACAATTCAACAATAATACTCTTTATAAAACGTTTAAGCCCAAATCAAGAATAATACTCTTTACAAATTAATTCAAGTCGTTGCTTAATTCCCATATGGAACTAAAATTTGAATTTGCATATACACGCGAACCATTTACAGCAGAAAATAGCATATCACACCCATCAATAAGGGTCGCTACCAAATCAGAGTTGGATCAGTAAGACACCTTTGCTAATAACCCAGGTCATGAGAAGCCACGTTGCTATGAGACCAACCTTGACCTGAGACGCTAAATGTAAAGCTCTATGATTGCCTTGTGTAAATCGCTAAATGACATGGATCGATTTGCGAAATAATCCATGAATAACACCTTCTTTCTCTTTTGGTTGATCAAATTAATCCTAGTTTGCTGCTGAGTCACGTTTAGCTTGATCGATTTGACGACTTTCAATTGAAAATAAAATATAAAAAACTTTTAATTTGTGAGATAATAAGAGATAGGTGAGAGTACAACCCCATATAACTAAATCGGATTATACATATTTAAGTTTGGTTCGTAACCTAAATTATTTTTATTTTTTATTTTATTTTTTCGCTTACAATGTTAATTTTCTTGTCTCTTTTTGTTTGACTCACTTTGTTTTTCAATATAATGTTCAGACCCTTATTAGACTACACAAGGTTAAATTCTACATTGACCCTTTACATGCAGGTATCGTTTGGATGCCTTAAGACAATCCTAACTAAGAACGTGACACAATAATACTATCATCTTTAAACAAATCTAATCCTAATCACTTATCCTTAAGTAAAAATAAAAAATAAAAATCCCCAACCCTCTTAATCCAAGATGATCATTAAACCATTAGATGGTGGTCTAGCACAGTCCCATACTGCCTCTTCCTATTAATATTTTTTGGATTTCTTCGTTGCTTATTTAATTGCCACCACCTCCCTTTTTCTTTTTTTCGTTCGAGGCTCATTTCATGCCTTCGGTATCATACCATCACAGCTTGCCAAGGACCATTTCATTCCTTCAGTACCACTTCAACCCTCTTCCTATAAATACCATCTCCCTTGTCACCCTTCTCGTGCCTTCTTCTACACCCATCTATTTACCCTCCACAGCCTAAAACGCAAGTCACCAGCTATGGCCACGTTTTCCCTCCTCATCCTCTTCTCCCTCTTCCTCGTCCTCCCTCCCTGCCTTGTCGCCGATCCTGACCAGCTCCAAGACATCTGCGTAGCAGATCTTAACTCGGGTAACATCACACTTCGTCCCCCTTTCATGATCTCTTCTCGTGTATGATCATGGCGTGTTCCTGCTCTTATAAGCTGATCGCTACTGCAGACGTCAAGTTGAATGGCTTCGCATGCAAGCCTGCGGCAAAAGTCACAGAGGCGGACTTCTTCTTCAAGGGGCTGGCGACGGCCGGCGCCACCAACAACACCATGGGCAGCCTGGTGACGGCCGCCAACGTCGAGAAGATCCCCGGGCTGAACACGCTCGGCGTCTCCCTATCGCGCGTTGACTACGCCCCCGGCGGGCTGAACCCGCCCCACACCCACCCTCGTGCCACCGAGGTCGTCTTCGTCCTCGACGGCACCCTCGACGTCGGCTTCATCACCACTGCCAACAAGCTGATAGCCAAGACCATTACCAAGGGCGAGGTGTTCGTCTTTCCCAGGGGGCTCGTTCACTTCCAGAAGAACAACGGTGCCGCTCCTGCCGCCGTCATCGCCGCCTTCAACAGCCAGCTTCCTGGCACCCAGTCCATCGCCGTTGCACTCTTCGCAGCTACCCCGCCGGTGCCCGACCACGTCCTCGCCCGGGCCTTCCAGATCGGATCCAAGGAGGTGGAAAAGATCAAAAGCCGCCTCGCACCTGGGAAGTAAAAGCAAGAGATGAAGTCAGCTGGGTTTACTGCCACTTCCTGCTTTAACTTATCATCGATCAAAACTTGTTTGACATTACTTTTCTGTCATTCGGATGGAACGCACTAATGTTTGTTTATTGTTCATTCAATCATCAGATAAATGACATTTCTCTTTCCCTTCTGAGATGATTATTCCAGAAACAAAATTCCTATAAATTCCGGCATACTGATAACATCAAGAACATAGATATACCAGTTCACAGGAAGAACCTACAAGTATTTAATAAGCAATCAAAAGCTGGGATGGAACGGAAGGACAAAAACCTGGGATTCTTGTTGTGAATCCCCACCACAAACCTGGCGTTTACATTAAGTTACCCTCGGGCCATCCCAGAAGAAAGGGCTCAGACAACCATCATAAGAACACTTTACTTCAAATGGGAGCTTTATTCATAAAGAGCATCATCAAGCCATCAAAAGGGTGTTCTTTTATGCATTTCCCAATAGAGAGAGACTGACATCTGATTAAGCTCTTTTGTTCTTTCACCATACTTTCTGACCCAAGTTGGAAGTAGTTGATGCAGTCTGTAATGGAACCTTGATGCAGCACGTTATCCGCCACGATTTTTTTGTGCCAATTGATCACCAATTTGCATCAGCCATTTTTTGTCATTCTTTTGACCAGGATCTGGTCCTCCAGAGAAATGTCTGATCTACGGACAGGAAATTTTCATATGCTCATGAACCTTGAAGTCACCTATCAAAGTAACCATTCAAGTAACTCAAGCTTCAGTATTCAATCATCTCAATCGAATACTAGGCATGATAATTGTATGACACGATGCTAGAGACTGAAATTTTAGGCAAAATATGAATATTCGACAGCAGTTTTTCATTTTATTTTTATTAAGATGGTCCCTTTTTTTTTCTTGTCTCTCTAATATATAATTAAAGAGGCATGCTTATTCTATGTTCTGTTTAGTATTGCAATATAGGGCTCTGATTCATCCTTATATTTAGTTGAACTAGGTACTTTTAATCTTGGAAAAAGCCTCTATCTTTAAGAAATTCTCATAAAGCATCCCAACTTTAAAAAATTTTTATAGAGTATTTTTTTTCATAAATAATCATTATGCCCCTAGCTCCCATTAGACTAACCTCCCCTCCCCTCTACCTTTGCCCTTGGTCCTTGCCAAACTTGCCGCCTGCACCCTTGTACAACAGGCGATGACAGTCACCCTACTGGATCCTCCCTTGCGTGTGAGGGTGATGAGGGTCATCGCCACCGCGCCCCCCTCCTTCATCTCACGAGGGTTGCCTCCATCGGTCCCATTGCCTGTGCTCCTATGCAACGAGCGATGATGGTGACCACACTGGACCCTCCCATGCACGCAAGGGCTGCCACCACGCCTCCTACTTCCTCGTGCAAGGGCAGTGAGGGTTGGCATCGTTGTGCCCCCTCCTTTCGTCATGCAAGGACCATCGTCGCCTCGACGGGCCCCGTCGGACCCTCCTCAACGTGTAAGGGTGATGGGCAAGGATGGCGAGGGCTGCTACCCTGCCCCTTTCTTCCTTGTGCAAGGGCGAGGCGAGCCCAGCGAGGGCCATGAAGGTGATAGTAGGTTTGATAGGACAGAGGGGAGGTGAGGCGATGGTAGAGGTGGTGCAAGGGTGGTACTGAGCAGAGATGACAATGGGTTTGACGGAGGTATAGGTAAATTAATCTTTTCACATAACAAGAGACGCTCTGCGACCACACAGTTGGTCTTTTTGTTATAGTGACTTTATAAAATGTTTACTGTGTTTTTATTTGTATTTCTAAAACACTGTAAATATCACATAAAAACACTATATAGACAATCTTTCCTTAATTCTTCTAGTATTTACAATACCTAGCATATACACAACTGCACTTGGATATCATTTGCATCTGGGATTCTAACAATGCGATTCAAGTATATCGTTATAGTGTTCTTATAAAGCGTCAAACACAAAAACACTGTAAAAATTTCATTTCAGTTCGTGACTCTACATAACATCTAAACAATTACAGTTCATGAGTCTACACATACTTTCATTCCGGTTTATATATTAATAAATGATGACAAGTATGTCCAACTGTTGTTGATTACATAAAATATACTTAGGAAATGAATTAATGATTTAGCCTTTACGGTTTCTATTTTAAACTTTACTGAGTTTCCCTTCTTATTCAGAAAACATCGTAAACTAAATACAAAAACACTGTAAAAGCTAAGTCATTCAACATACACGTCTTTTTAACGATCTTCAAACAAATAAAGATGAAATAGGTTAAATATATTTACATCTCTAACAATATAAGACTCTTGGATCGGAGGGGATAAAAACCCACAACACTATAAACACAAGTGAAAGACACTTTCAAAGAATGGAAAAAAAAAAGGGCGGAGAAAATACAATATATGGAAGATCACTTACCTCAAACATTGTCTTAGCTGAAAGCACCATGATTTCTTTGTGGGAAGACACCCTATCACAGCTCCAAACCAGGGAGGAGAGCAAGAATCGATTTGATTGATTTTTTTGAAGCAAAAGATGGAAAAGAAGGAAGTTGAACTAAACAGTGTTCGAGGCTAAACCATGGACATTGGTCCATCCATATGGACGGGTACACCCAATGGACTGGTGCTGGCTCCCACAATCGATAGGAAACATTTGTCACAACTTTCTGAAAGGTATTTTTGGTATTTTCGAAAGATGGGTCATGGAACGAGAAAAATAAAAAAGGGGTGGTTGTAAAGGTAGTAATATGGCGGAGGCGGCGGATACGATGACGATGTCGATGTTGCCATCAATCCCAACCTTTACTCTTTCAACCAAGCAGTTGATGCTTGAAATTGAGAGCTTAATCTTATATTAGGTCAATACTCGCATAAAAATGTCAACTTTCTTCATAATCTTGAACGTGTTATCAATAATCTGATCACAACTTAAGCTCAACTAACAAAAATTGATAATCTCACATCTAAAACCACAAGACACTTATAGCATAAGAGATCAAAAGAAAAAAATCAGACGCAATCGGAAACTCAATGTCGATAACGTAGGTTCAGCACAACATACACAGCAAAGAGAAGACTTTGAAATCAGCAGTTCCTGGCGTGGGGGGGGAAGAAAAGAAGGTAAAAAGAAAAGAGGGCTTACCCGGCTTGACACAGCACGAAGAACGACGGCTGTGGTTCCGACGGAGGCTGCGATCGAGAGGGCAGCGTCGCAGTTGTCGGGCGATTGGAGGAAGAGACACGAATGGGTGAGAATAGGCGTCGGGATTTGGTGGACGGGTCTACAGTTTTATTTGGACGGTCCAAGATCACATGGCACCAAATCTAACGGATTCAAATCTCAGTACAGTAATTACCAAAGAAAGACTATGTAGATATCTATTACAATTATTCTTAATCATACTGATATATATATATATATATATATATATATGTCTGATAATGATCGATCGAAGTACCACCCCCAATCCAATTATTGATCGTATACATATTAGTGATATATTTTATAAAAACAAAATAATTATCAGGTATTTGAGAAGAAAATTGATATTTCATATACACTTTTGTAAATGTAAAGATAAGCAAATTTCTTTTACTTTTTATTGAATCTCGGATTTTGATGATGAAATCAATTGATAAGTGTTTATGATTTAATCTGCATTTTGAGTGATATATGATGCTTCGATCTGGGAGAGATAATTAAAGCAGAGAGAATCATGTTGGGTCGGAGGAAAACGTGTCAGAAGATTGGACGTCGGGCCGGAGGATCGGTCGACGTATTGACAAAAGGCTTCGGGCCATGGATTTGGGCATCGGGCCAAGAAGAGCGGATATTGTGCCAAGGATATCGGAGTTGCGGAGGTCAATTGGCCGATTAGGCAATATGCCGCAAGAGAGGACGATGCGACGAAGAATCGGACAAAGCGTCGATGAATCAATGACATGCCGGACAACATGATTCATGCTTAGTAATAATTGTCTAGATCGAAGTGTGCTTTTGTGTGTGCAGGATTAACTACGATAACAAGGCATGAAGCAAAATGAAGTCTCGGAGTCAAGGATACGATTTCGTTGGGAGTTGAGAGTTCGTTGAAAGTCCAGACATTCGTCGGAAGTTTTGTAGGAACCAATAGAGAAATCCAAGAGCTTGAAGCTCGTTGGAACTCTCGGAAGTTCACCGGAAGAAAACAAGACCTAGGGACTTGTTTAGCTTAAGTATACCTTAGATTTCGTAGTTATCACATAATTAGGATTGGATTTGGGCCAACCCAATTATGGGCCAGTTGGGCCCATGTAAGGACTGTGTTGGGCTCAATGAAAGGATCAAACAATGACCCAAAAAGTGGCACCATCATGACACAGTCTTTGAGATTGTGTCAAGCGGTGGTACCGCTAGTCTAGGCGGTGGTACCGCCCAGTGCAGTGTTAGTGTCAGATTGATACTGGCGATGGTACCGCCTGAACCCAAGAAACCTGAAATGAGATATTTTTAGGCTCCAAGTTTAAATCAACTTGAGGCCTATAAATACCCCTATCATCCTTGGTTAAACTACATAAGACTTGAGGGTAAAAATAGAAAGAAACGCTGCTACAATCTTGTATGAACTCCTCTCAAAAGTTCTTAGTGTTAGAATAGTTTGAGAGAGGAGTAAGTGTGGGTGTAAGGGTTATCTCCTAAACCTAGTAAAAGGAGAATCGAGTTGTAAAAGGTGGTTGGTCTTCGCCTATTGAAGGAAGACTGATAGTTGATGCCGGTGGCCTCGACGAAAGAGGAATCAGTGGAGTGGATGTAGGTCACAATGACCGAATCACTATAAAAATATGGTTTGCCTTTACTTTGAGCAATTTACTTTAAACTGCAAACTGCCTTCTCATTACTTGCTACGCTCTTCCGTACGCTTTCAATCTAAGTATATTTTCAGAATCGGTTTTCAATGTACGAAGAATTTTTAAAAATATAATTTTTACCGCTGTACTAATTCACCCCCCCCTCTTAGTGCTGACTCTTTTCCTAACAGTTGGTATCAGAGCCTTGTATTTCTCATTTGGTTTAACACCCAAGAGAAATGACTCTTTTCGGCTTTCAAGAGGGTCACTCTCTTATTCGTCCTCCCTTTTTCAATGGGATGGACTATACATATTGGAATACTCGAATGAGAGTTTTCTTGCTTTCTTTGGATTTAAACTTATGGAACATTATTGAAAATGGTTTTCGAAGGTCTTATACTCCAATAAAAGAATAAAATGATTTGGAGAAGAAAACGTTTTCCTTAAATGCTAGAGCTACGAATGCTTTATTTTACACTTTAGATAAAACTGAGTTTAATCATATTTTTATGTGCGAAATGGCTTTCGATATTTGACACACTTTTGAAATCACACACGAAAGCACAACTAAAGTAAAAGATTCTAAAGTCAATCTTTTAATGCATGATTTTAAACTTTTTTGAATGAAGCCGAGCAAAACCATTGTTGACATATACACCCGTTTTACGGATATCGTCAATGGTTTAAAAGCTATTGGCAAATGCTTTTCTAATTTTGAACTCGTTAACAAGATTTTACGATCACTTTCTAAGAATTGAGATATGAAAATAACGGCTATAAAAGAATAAAAAAATTTGAATACTTTTCTGATCGAAGAACTTATCGGGTCTCTAATGACCTATGAAATAACGTGCAATGCACGTAAAGAACTTGAGAACCACCTTCTAAAGAACAGGAAGGATTTCGGACTAAGAATAATTGAAGACCACTCGAGCATAAGCTCAAGTGATGGTGAACTTGAACTCATCACTATGAAATTTAAAAAGTTCATGAAATAAAAATTAAAGAACAAAAAGAACGTAACTACTTGCTATGAATGCAAGAAGAGGGAATAACTTTGGGATGAATCAAGCTCTTTTGAAGATGAGGAGAAAATCAACAAAGACGAGGTGGCAAACTACGCCTTAACGGCTTTCGACGATGAGGTAATCAAAATGCCCTTAATTTTTTTAAAATTACATAATACTTTTCATGAGTTACTTTTAATTTAGTTTAGAATAATTATTTTTCTTGAAAAGTGTATGTTTAATAAAAATACAAAAATAAAATAGGATCATGCTTATCATGCTAGTAATTTTGAAAATGATAATGAAAATTACATATTTTATGATAAAGAAATAAAATATTAGATTTAAATCTAATGATAATCCTATGTATATTTTTCAAGAAGAAATAATGTGTATCTTGATGATTTTCGATTTTGTTTGAA